CTTTGTCTGTGAGGAAAGGGGGCCCTCTATTCCAGCGAAGTCTCTCACAACCGGCGATAGTAATTGCAAAACCCATATAAGGATCTGGCTCCCTTCACTGTCGTGGGCACTAGCCAACTGGTTACAGTTTCCACTTTCTTCCGATCCACTTGAATCCCACCATTCCCGATGATGTGACTCAAGTAGATGAGCTCTTTCTGCACTAATCTGCTTTTCTTTGGCTTAGCTTCAGATTCGCCGCCCTTAATAGTTGAAACGTAGCCTGAAGGTGGGAAAAGTGATCGTCGGTGGACTGGCAGTATACCAATACATCGTCGAGAAACACTACCGCCCACTTCCACAAGTGCGCCCGGAACAACTCGTTCATTAGTCTTTGGAAGGTCCCTGGGGCATTAGACAGTCCAAATGGCATCATGACATACTCGTAAAATCCTCTATCGGGGGTAACGAAAGCCGTCTTGTGGCTTTCTTCCTCTGCCACGGGTACTTGCCAATATCCGCTGCCCAAATCTAAGGACGTGAAGTATTTCTGTCCTTTCAAAGCGTCGAAAGTCTGTTGTATCCGTGGAATGGGGAAGGCGTTTTTAATCGTTACCTCGTTCAGCTTTCGATAATCCACGCAGAAAAGCCAGCTCCCGTCCTTCTTCTTTTGTAGAAAGATTGGGGCACTGCAGGGACTCTTGGACGGCTGGATTACTCCTTTCTCCAGCATGCTCTGCACTTGCTTCTTGATAATCGGCATCTTCGCTGGAGACGCTCGATGAGGAGGGATCCTAATGGGGCCCGCATCCCCCGTGTCGATCCGATGGGTAACTAAATTGGTTTGCCCCAGCTCTGCGTCTGTCAGGGCGAACATATCTCTGTATGACCGGATAAGTTCTGCTAATTTGTCTTTTTCCATGCCTGTCACACCGGGTGCAGCCAGCTCTAGGATCCTCTCAACATCTTCCTCCAAATGCCGTCCCCCAAGGGCCATATTCAGGCTGCTGGGGATCTTCGGCATCCTCTGAAACTGCCGGTTTGGGTAGGGGCCCGGCCGCACCTGCTGATGGTTTGGGATGATCCGGGGCTGTTGAGGTCCGCAGTGGTTCTTCATGCAGGGGAACTATCTACCCTTCTTTGGGTTCTGTCCACAAGCTATCGCCGTGGAAATCCAGTGCGCATTCGTATTCCTTGAGTGAACGCATACCAAGGATCACTCCCGCCTTCAGCTCGGAAACTACTAGCGCCTCCATGCCATCGTTTATCGATCATAGTTCCAAGTTCGTAGTAACCCAGCCGTCAGCTCTCACCGCAGGCCCATTCGCTGTCTCAAGGGAACCATTATATGTCCGGAGGCGTGGTGCTGCTAAGATTTTACTATATACGTCGCTTCTGATGAGGTTGATGGTAGCTCCAGTATCCACTAAAGCTCTCACTGGGGTTCCTCCGACACAAGCGTCCGCTGTCAATCCGAAGGGTGCTTCGTGTACTTGGCATACGCCGAAAAACTCCAATGATGTTTCCGTCTGGCACTGGGTACTAGACACCTGTTGGACACCACCGTGGCGGGGGGTTGGGGTTAGTGGAAAAATGACTCGTTGCGTTGTAGGATCCGGGGGGCATCTGAGAACTCGGGGTTTGTTGGAGAGAGCTGCTTAAAGGTCGGCTCCCACCACATGCTTGTTGGTTCATGAAGTTGGCCGGGACGAAACCTCCTTGGTATCCGTTCACTGTCCCGGCCCTCGCTAGTTTAAACGATCGGCGACTTTCTGGGGGCATTCCTTTGCGAAGTGCCCTGGCTGATGACATGAGTAGCAGTCGCCGCGGGGAGCCTGATTTTTTGCCTCGTAACGTCCCACACCATTTCTCTGTTAGCTCGGACGGTCATCTCCCTGATAGGGGTCATATAGTTTCCGCGGCCACTGTGTCTGTTCGGGTCGGGGTAGATTCTCCGGGTGGGGGGATAATAGAGTTAACGAGCTTACCCATCATTGCCGTCATGTTCTGCATTTGTGTCAGAAGATCGCTCTGCACACTCACCAGTTGGTCTATCCTCGGGTCAAAGCCCACTGGTTGTCGTCCCGCACCGGTCGCCCCCGGAATAGCCCGAGCGCTCTGCCCCTGTCCTCCACGGCTACTGGCGCCGGTACATCCTCTGCTACTCTCGCAAGGTGCAGCCGCTTACTGTTCCTGGCTCGGGACGATTTGTTCCCCAGTTCCAGAGCCTGAGCTCGGGCCACTGCCTGTGCCAAGCTTCCCAATTCTTCTCGTAGGAGGAGGTCCTTTAGTTCCACATCATACAGTCCGTCGATAAACTGTTCGCGATTCATGTCGTCTCTAGCCTGAGCACCAACATTCGCATTCGCCACGTCGCCAAGGGATCTGACACTCCGGGAGAATTCTCGCAGCTCTTCCTTGTCGCTCTGCTTCACGTTATTGAAATCTGCCCTGGCGCCTGCCTGAGTCTGGAATGGCATCATCCGCTGGTCAAGTTCGATCAGCATTTCCCCTAAAGTGGGGTATCGGAAGCCGGCAACATCCTCTCTAAATTGGGCTGGCATGCTCGTATATTCATCAAGGGCCCAGCCCGTCAAACAGGTAGGCAGCACCATCCTGGCCTGTTCGTCTTCCCACCGGTTGGCATCGGCAACCCAGGCGAAGTGCTTTCTCCAGTCCGCCCAGTTCTGGTAGCTGTTGGAGGGAAAGCAGTCAGGTCGGATCCTTCACTAACACAGAATAATGGTAACTACAGTCCAGATTGCGATCCCACCCAGGCGCGCCAATGTAGATTTCAGGGATTGCTTCTCTAGGTCCGTTCACACACTTTAATTTAACGGCACCGCAAAGTGGTCCCTTTGGCATTGAATTCAGCGGGGCAACCGAGATTCACTACTATCCACTATCCCGAAAGGGTTAAGTTGGTGGCACCTAATCTGTACGGTACTCTGTTACTTGCCCGTCTTTATACTGCTCTTGAGGCTGCCTTGCTCACTCTCGTCGATCGCAAGAATTTCCAGTACTAAATAAATTCAGATAAAAATTGGTCCGAATACAGAAGGCTCTAGGCGGCCCGAATATAATCTAGTAATCTAATCAAAAGGAAAGGATCCGCGATCAATCAACACAATTGCCTAATTGCAATTCGAGTTCCAAATAACTTAGCCAACAATTGTCACTTTTCTAGAGAGTTTTAATTATTGAATTACCCACGGTAATTCCACACAATCACTCAGTCCGACTTGCTAAAACTAAATTTGTCAATAAGGATCATTATTCATTTGAGTGAGGTACTTTGACGGGTCTCTTTACTTTGCTATTTTTGGTTCTCTAACTATTGAGAACTCAACTAATCTCACTCCTAGTTAACTCTCTCTTTAGCAATTCTTGTTCTCTAACTAACGAGAACCAATAGTAATTCACAGTGATCTGCCTAAGGGTATGCTACTTGCTGTTCTCTATAATATTTGTCTGTTTGAGTTTTAGTTATAGTAGACTTATGTCGTCCCTACAAGTCGTGACATTTACTTCGGTACCCTATTCATAAGGTCTTATTTGAAGTCTTCCTCTAATGCCACTAGTCTTAAGTTCCAAGTTCATTATAGGCATCTCCAACTAAGTTGTGCAAATATCAAGTCCAATTTCACCTCCAAACCGAGTTATGTTTAATTAACCAATTATTTACTCTGCAACTTAGCTTAATGACAATTCAATCTTACGCTCAGGTTGCTATAGCATGTAATACAGTAGAATCATCAATTCTACACACGGATTCCAAGCAAAAAACATAAAATTCAGAGAAAAATTTACATAATTGAATCATTTTTCACAAAAAAATATAGTTTTTTTTTTACAAAAAATAGCAAAAAACAATATAGCAACTCTTTTTGACCAATTTGATGGTTTTTTTGATATAATTTTGGCCCTAAGCTTGACTTATATTCATGATATTCAAAACTTGATTTATATTCATCATATTCTTTACAAGTGACAGGATAAGCTTGCTTTTTGTGTGTCAAAATATAGTTGTTTGTATATTACAATATTTTAATATGTTCTTTTTATTTGGCTTGTGTTTTTTTTTTCAACTAAAAAAGATTTTCAAAAAGCATACATTTTAGCAGAAAAAATTGATATAAATCTTTACTTCGATTTTGTCTCGACAGAACTTTATAGCTCTTTTTTATATTCTCGATGCTAATTAAAATGAGATTCCAAAGCCTTGGAAAAAATTGCAGTGAAATTATTTCTGAGTGAGTTGAAGTAAGTTTAAATTAGTCTGGTTGAAAATCAATTTGAAAGTTTTGTTTTCTTAACAAATTTAGTTGAAATAGGAGTCAAGATCAAATGCGATTCAGTTTTGTGTCCAGACGTTTGGGTTCCTGGGTTCATTTTTATCTCGAGACAGACGTTACCAGCAGCGCAGATAGCGCAGAGGATTACCAGTAGTCTATCAACGGTGGATTATTAAAAATCTCTTTTCGACATTTAAGCATTATTAAAATGCTTTTGTTTCAAATTATTACAAACACTTTTTCGTCTCTCAAAACGTTCATTAGTTTCAACTTAAGGTAATTTTGAAAAACTCAAAAAATAAATTTTCTCGCACTAAGATATATTTCAGATATTACAGTAAAAATTCGGGTCGTAGACAATTCGATGTAAATTGGCATCAAATTGTCTGCGGCCCGAATTTTTACTGTAATATCTTAAAAATATCTTAGCGCAAGAAAAGTTACTTTTTCAATTTTTTCGTTTATAAGAAAATCAAAATTTTTAAACTTATCATGATGATGACAATTTTGTTAAAAATGCATACAATTTGGTTAAAATGATATTCTTGACTATAAAAAATTTTTAAAAATCTCTTTTTTTCTGACCTCTATAGCTATAAAATCTGACGACAATTTTCAAAAAAGGCTCTATGATTGATGATCATAGTTTATATATACCAACATTAACTGCTTGGTTCAAACATTAATTTGATAAAAAGCATAATTAAAGCTTAAAACTTATCTGACCTCGGGTAGACCTCCGTTATCTTTTGGAGTTGGAGCGTTGTAAACATACGATGTCGAAGCATACGAAGTTCTCTTGGAGTTGCCTTTGTTCATTTCGTCATGTTCCGCAAACGACTGTTTTTTGACAGGACTAAATCTCAGCAACTCATTGTCCGATGTTGTTTCTTCGTCTAAATGGTATTCGTCTAAGTGGACTTCGTTTAATTGCACATGGTTTAATTGCACATCAGTTGGTCTGCTGAAGTTTTTATTGAAAGACATTTGTTGGTCGATGATTTGTTTGTTGTTTTCTTGTGCTTGATGGAGTAACTCGCACTCGTGTTTCAAACGTGTGATTAGAGACTGACCCTGTGTTCTCGCTTGCTGCAACTTCTTTGACTGCTGAAACGGAAAGTGTCTGTTAAAAATTGTTTTTTCTTGTGCCTGGGAGATTATCGGTTGATCAATCACATCACATTTGTGTGTTCCGCACCATTCAAAAAATAATTGATAAACCTTGAAGCAAAGCCCTCAGACAGCAATAAAACATCATCAATTCATCAATGTCAAATTAGCATTTAAAAATGCAGCGCCTTAGGAATGTTTAAAAGATGGTTAAAACTCGCATGATTTAGCGCCTTTTCGAATCTTATGGCAAAATATTTTATCTAAATGTCCATTAGGACGTATTGCACTAGATTTTCTCCTATTTTTTTGCATGTGCTAACAGATTGCGTTCTACGATTAAAATCGCCCTCTGAAAATGATTATTAGCTATTGAAGCTTAAATCCAATTTTTTCTCTCTCGGACTAAATGGTCTTCGTCTGATTATGTCTTTCAAGAAGGGCCCATAAACTTTTTCTTCATCGTCGCCAGGAATAATCGATCAATTGATGATAATCAGGAAAAAATTCCAGTTTTACAATAAATTGTTTTTGTCATAATTAGAAATTTCAGTTCCTCTGATTTTGTTTTCTTTGTTTCCCAAACTGTGCTGGACATTGGGGGCAATTAGAGGGGACGTTCAGGTCCATCCTATTTGAAAAAGTGTTAAACTATCAACTGTAGCAGGATATTCGAGCGAGGGTCGTCTAATTGGCCGGATTGTGTCAGTTCTGTTGTAGAAACCACTGGAGGTCTTAGAGGAAGCAGTAAAAAGGTGCTTTAGAAGCGATGGTTTACAAAAATGCTGGCTAAAGTCATTTATAGGATTGAAATCGTTTGCCTCACTGAGAATCTGTTGAAGCTCTTCTTTGTAGGTGCCTATAACAATTGGTCGTTGTTTCCGGGGGGCGGGTGGTGGGTGTGTGATAGAAAAGCAATGGACTTAAAGGCACGTACGTTTTCATTGTGAAATGATAATAAATATTTTATGCTGATTTCTCACAATATGTAACTTGCACTCTAGTGAGTGTAGGTGGTCATCGAGTGTACCCGGTCAGTATCCGATGAGTAGCATTTTGCATTGTTTGCAGTTCTCTAACATAAATATCACTGACAGCATGGGCACAAGTTGGACAGACTTAATCAATAATCGGTCTTACAAGAGTTTTAAAAATAACGATTATAATCTCTTTCAACTTGCTCCACTTTAACCGGAGAGTACGTTCAAGGATATCCTGCGCATGGCTTTACTCGTCGATTGTCTGCACTCTTTGGAAAATTAAAAGCTGGATTGAAATAGACACTGAGCTTTTGGTGTACGACAAATTGAGTAACCTCTTGTTTTGGAGGCGTGTTTTATGTTGCACGTTTAGACGAAAGGGTCAAAGCAATTGGAGTAGGACGGAAGGATTAGATGAGATGACCAAGCCTCAAGGAACGTATGTACGCACAACCCTCGATGTAGACACGGCATCACTGAATTGAGACTCAGCTTGCAGGCCACTTAGATAGTTTTCTAGACTTCTTGGTTGACTTCTGGGAACACTGATGGTATGTAGCATGTCCATTAGAGTACAGTGGCACACCATGAAAATTTCACTACAGACAAGAGAGATCTAGAGTGGCAAGTACAGACCTTTCAGTGGGTTGTACTGCCGCGCTTTAAATTGAAATGGGACAGTAAGATTCTGAAACTTTAAAATCTTTGCATGATTGTCCTGAAGGAAAGATCCTTAAGTGCTTTCAGATTTGAAGTAATTTGTTTAAGTTTAGAGATAAGTTAAAATGGTGCCATAAAAAATTATGGCGGGTGGCCCCAGCTGTTCGATGTGGATTATGCAGAGGCCATGAAGGCCCAGTGCAGTGGATGGTTTTATGGCTGGTTCTTATGGACAGAAAAACAGTGGCCCGCTTAAACTTAGTTTTTAAAACCTCTTTTTGGTTTACCAATTGGTTAAACCCGAGTGCTTTTTCTTTTGCCTATGGAATTTTTGTTTTATCCTGCTACCAATCCTGCTACCATAAATCCTGTTGTATCCTGCTACTAATTCTGCTATCAATTTCATTTCAAGGAGCGGAACGCTTTTTAAAACTCACTGGACGACGTATGTTAGCTTTTTTTTTAAATTTTCTATACCAACTTATATTTTAAGGGCTTCAAGACAATGTTTGATAGTGAATCTAGTCTTAATTTGTCTCGCTTTTTTGCCAACTTCTCTGTTTCGCTTACTAAGGCCGGAGTTCAGAACTTATGACGCCCTATGGGTACATGTTGCCTTGCTATCAGTAATTTAATGTTTTTCAAAAAAGGTTCAGCCCTGCTTACGTAAATTTTAACATCGGTGTTGTTTTGAAAATTTTGCTCTCTATTTCTTCATAAAAACTTCCTAATTAAGTTTAAGACACCTAAAGTAAGGGTTTAGCGGTGTCGATCTCTTGCATTAAGCCCGACAAGCGACTACAGTCGCAGCAAATTTTTAAGTTCAAATCCTCCCGTTTTTTGCGAGCGTTGAAAAAGTTTATCGGTAATCAGTTTGGGCTCAACCTAGCAAAAAACTTGATTTGCACATTTAAAAATTTTTTTTTAAAATATTTTTTGAACTTAATTTTACGAATCACGTGTTTTTCAGTTCCTGTAATTTTTTTTGCTTGCCTTTTTGCTGTGAAGACAATTATGTGACCTCAACTATTTTTCTCTACTGCGAAAAACAGATTTCTCAAATATCAAAGTTATAGACCACTGTTGGTTTTGATCTTGTTTTACCTTTGGAGAAATCAATTTACAGACACTTGCTGTTTTTTGAGATAACTTTTTCGGGATAAATGGAGACCACAATTTTCTTAGTTTTGAACTGATAATTTTTTATCCAAGATATGGTTGGCTATGTCAGAAACCTAATTATTTCGATCAAAAATCAGGAGAACTGTTTGGATTAAAGTGTAATTTAGTTTACAAGGTACTGTAAGCAAAAATTGAAAGAGTAGAATAATATATCTTATTACAAAATTAAATGGCACAATTTTTTTTAATTAATGCAGATTCCGCAGAAGGATTAACAATGTATTACGCAGAAATATTTTTTTTCTATTTTTTTTTTGGATTTTTCATAGAATCCAGAAACAAATTTTCAAGATTGTGCAGCTCCACATGCTGGCTCATTGCTTTGATTTTTCATTCATTGCCATTCCGTATTCTAATATAATTAATGACAAAATTTACGTTAAAAGGTTTGAGTTGTGGATTCCACAACACCTTCGGAAAACAACTTTTAGTTAGAATTTTATCAAACTTGAAGAATTGTCTCCTTGTTCCCCAGACCTACAAAAACGATTTTAAGCATGAACAAAAAGCAAATTGGAGCAGTAATTGTTCCGACTTTTGATACGAAAGTTACGGAATATTTGTGCTCGGGGTGGGTTTTTTTTTCTTCAGACAAATTTCGACTTTTTAATTAGCCATTTTTGACGGAATTTTTTTCATCATTCAAAAGGTATTGTTGTCCTGAGCCTAAATTTGAAAAAATATTTCACCTGTGATTTTTTTTCGTAAAGTTATGAGGTTTTAAAGGTTGCCATTTGGCCATTTTGACCAATTTGGGACAATTAACGCGCGACAAAAAATTCGAGCTATTAACGCGTAAGCGGAGATTTAATCCGTCTTAGAAATCGTTCCAAATTGGTTGAACGAAGCTTATTTGCTATAATTGATATGTTACAAGAAACGAAATCTATCCTTTTGTACTTTATATGGCGTGTGGTGGGATGATTTTCATTTAAAAAAAAAACTCAAATTTTAGAAAAAATATTTTCATTTTATTTTGTTTCATTAAATTTTTTTAATGATATTATTGCTCCATAAACCTTAAAAGGCAGTCGGAACATTCAGGGCTTCGCCCTGATACGAGCAGTCTTGTTTATTTTTAAAATAGTTCTGTCCTAATTCGGTTGTTCTTTTTTTAATGTAAGGTTGATTTATTTGGAACTTTACATGCTACTTCCAGAACAAGCAACGATTACTGAGCTCAAATTTAAAACTATTTTCACCTTTGTAATGTTTTGTAGCGTTCAAATTTGGCAATTTGGCGATTTGGTCATTTTGGAATAATTACCACACAAAAAGTTCGTACAACTCACTTAAGCGACAAATTGAACAAGACTGCTCGTATCAGAGCGAAGCCCTGAATATTCCGACTGCCTTTTAAGGTTTATACAGAAAAAAATTAAACGTAATAAAATAAAATTAATTTTTTTTTCTACCAATTTTATTTTTTTTAATTTCTTTCAACCAATTTGGAACGATTTCTAGGACGGATTAAATCTCCGCTTACGCGTTAATAGCGCGAAATATATCGCGCGTTAATTGTCCCAAATTGGCCAAAATGGCAACCTTTAAACCCCCATAACTTCACGAAAAATGATCACAGGTGATATAAAAAAATTCCATCAAAAATGGCTAGTTAAAAAGTCGAAATTTGTCTGAAGAAAAAAAAACCCACCCCGAGCACAAATATTCCGTTACTTTCGTATCGAAAGTCGGAACAATAATATGTTCCCACCAAAGAAAATGAGAAGAAAATTCTATTCGGGTGTTTTTTTGTTCTCTGCTTTTTTCTTTTCAATTTCTAAGCAAAATCAGGCAGTATGAATAAAAATTAGCAGCTTTATTAAGCTCTTTGTTGTTGTTCAGACAATATGAAAAATAAGAAAGAACTTTGTATTCGGGTGTGTTGAGTCATGACACAAGTTTTAGGGCAATAGATTTGAAGACTGGAGCTGTTGGCCTGATATGTGATATATGTTGTTGGCATTGTTAAGTGTACTTGCTTAACAAACTGGAAAAACCACAAATTTAGTTCTTTTACAAAAAAAAAGAGATTTATACTTGTCAAAACAGCACTGCTATGGATTGATTATGAATTTTCTATATTTTCATTGAAAATCGTAACGAAATCATTAAGTAGACGATGAAAAACATATAAATCATTGGCGTATGTAGAATTTTGTTGATACAAAGAGTTACTCTAAAATATTTTCAATTCTTTTGAGCTCGGTTATTTTGAGCTTTCCGAGTTTTGTCGAACTCTTTGAATTTGATTGGCAAAATATGTTGCATCACTTAAAAAACTTGAAAAAACCAGTAGTGAACGTGTTGATAAAAATTTTGACCAAAACATTTGAAGAAGTTGAGGTGCGTATTTGTCGTCAACTGGTTAGATAGATAGAGATAAGGAAGGGAGAAGTACTACTTATTCAAATTAAAATTCAGCAAATAAAAATTTAGCATCGCAATTTTTTGTACATGATAGCTGGTGGTCACACAATTGAAATATGATTTAATTTGAGTTGCTTGAAATTTATGCAAGATTGCTTAACATGGTTAACACTAGTTTTGTTACCCTAAACTGGAGCTTGAAAAATTTTCAAGATAGGGTAGCGATATTGAGCTCCAAATTTGAATTATTCTGTCACAAGAAAAAATGATACTTTTTAACAAAATAGCGAAGTAAAACAATGACATGTAAGTGGATTTCGCAACAGATTTTTGATGGGTTTTTTGTGAAATCGGCAACAATGCTAGTTTTCATGGATTTTTTTGCTTTTGTGAAATTCACTCACAAATGCTTAAATCTTTGCTCTAACTCGCGGGAACTCGTTAAAAACAGCAAGATTTGCGGAATCCGTGGTTGAATTTGAGGTAATCATAGCAGTTTGTAGAAACCATAAACAAATAATTTTTGCAGCTATTCAGTGGATTGCGCTGCCGCGGAAACAGCTGTATTTAAACGGAATCTAAATTTTGTTAAGTTAATCCGCATTTTGTAAATGAAATCCGCAAATTGTTGCAGAAGTCGCTAACTTTTGCGGAGCCCAGTCACAAAATTTGGACTCCCTTTGCAGTTGCACACTCAGCAATAAGTTGCTATAATAGTTTTTTTTGCGATTAATCGGCACAATTATAGTGCCAATAATTTTTATGGTAAGATTTTCTTTTTGGATTCCACATAGAATTTAACATGTTTAAAAGCTTCTCTCCGTGCCAAACAGTGTGCAAATCCACAATGAAGTTTCATTCGTGAGGTAATTCATTTTTTTGTTTATGAGGATCTGTTTAACAATCAATAGCATACCTTCATGGCCCTGAGTAAACTTGGGTTTGGCTCAGAGTTTTTGATTATAGCCAACAGAAAGTTGAAAAAATTTCAACGAACTCAAGAAAAACAAAACAAGATTGACCTTATCCAAGAATGAAAGTGTATATCACCTTAAAGCTTGGAAACTTTAAAAATTATTTTGAATTGATACTTTTGGTAGAACTAACCCATATTGAGCAATATATAATTTTTTCTGCTTCGAAATTTGTAAACAGAATTCACATTCAGAACTAAAAATCCATCGTATTTTACTGCGAATTTTTTCCTTTCATAATTGGAGATTGAAATTTGAATATAATATAAATTTAAAACAGTAAAATCAAACCAAAAAAAATCAAACTTGCGCGTGATTAAATTTTAAATTTTTTTCTCAATAAATATTTTAAAATCATTCAAAAACCCAATGAAACGAATTATCTTTATAAAAAATCATTATGTTCAATAACAATTTATTTTAATCAATAGGGCAATTCATGTTTATGCCATGCAATTTCAATCCAAAAAACTTTGAGAGAATAGCTTAAACTGATCTATTTGGAACTTGGGTCATACTGGTTTAGTTTGCTTAAAACCTACCTGTATTACAGACACATCTTTTAGATCATCATCATCATTGGGACCTTCTGTGAGAAACGTGTGGTACTGTCTCTCCTGGCTTATCAGCTCTGCAACTCTCGCCTCCAATCTGGAGATCAACTTTTCCTTGTTCCGAATCTCCTCCTCTATTTGATCCTCCGACTGAAAAAATTTTTCAATACAATTTGAAATTCGGCAAAGAAAATTTGGAATTATGCGAAAAAAAAACACACAACAAACAAGTAATGAAATTTCAGAGACGAATTCTTAAATAAAATAAATGGAGACATCAGAGAAGTTTGAAATTTTGATATAAATAGCAAAATCGCAGACAACAAATTTGGTCACCCGAGAGAGTAAAACTCTGATGAAACAATCAATGATCACCCAATCAAAAAACATAGACGCGGGTTCGGCTAATATTTATTTTTACCTAGACAAGTTAGGTCAAAACTACTGAATTTTTCAATTTATTCATGTTTATATCTATTCCTTTTTTTTCTTTTTTAGAAAATTATTCGGAATTTTTGAACTTTTTTCGGAATAGCAAAATGATTTTTACACTTCTCTGAATTAAAAACATACTGTACTGAGCGAAGAAAATCAATGCTAAGGAAATATAGTTGGTAATAATTCCAAGCTTTGGAAATTAGTTGGACAAATGGTTTAAAAGTGATTAAAAAAAACACGATTTACAATTGTAATCGTGGCTAAGCGTTCAATGGTAATATAGTGAATAAAATAAAACTTCTCTCCCGTGCCACTTACCAAAAATAGGAAAATTGTTATCACAGTAGCGTTGCTTTGTTTTTTATTGGTTTCTGACAAGCAGATATCCCTATTATAAGCAAGTTATCATAACAAGCACTCATCATCTTTTTTGGGTCGCATGACAAGAAAGTCCCAAATAAAGAACGAGTATGTAAAAAAAATTTAATTCATAATTCGAAAATAGAAGCTTGGAAGTTATGATTTGCTGATGATAGAAAAAATATACAGAAAAAGGCAGTTCAGATTTTTCTTAATATGCTGCATGTTTCAGTAATTTTTTCTGGTCGTTAGAATAAATTGTTTTCTACGATTGGACGTGTAAGCCAAACCCATCTCAGAGATAAATGGACGAACCGTTAGGTTAGATGGTATTAATCTACCCTAAGCCCTTCCCCAATGGGACCAATGATTACATTTACATTATTCAACTCATAAACTGCGCTTTGTTTACTCTGCACATGTAGGCTTTCTTTAGATGAAGATAAAAGGATTTAAATAATCATCCATAAAACACGAGACCTAATGGATGATCAAAACTCAAAAAAAATTGTGTGCATAGCGATTTTTAGGATTAAATAGGCTATTATAGTTCATAAAAATCTAATCAAATTTCCAATTTACTGGATAGTAGTTTAAATAAATGACCAGGGCGTTTGACAAATTTGAAAAAAAAATCTATTTATCCGGTAAAGCTTTAACATCATGGTTCTTAAATGGATCTGTAAATTTTCATAAAAAAATTATACGAAAAAGTGGAAGTGATCAAAAATATATATACTTTATTATGCTACCAAAAATTACACAAAAATTACCAAACAGCTGAAATTTGGCAGAAACGAGGTTCTTTGTTGATTAAAAAAAATTGTCTTACCAAATCATTGGTCCATTCCATCATCAGAGTCGAAACGAATAATCTTTATTAAAAATTCAATCAAAAAATAATCTTCCGCAAAATCCAATTTCTTTCATGTTTATGCGTGACCGGTATTGTCCTGTGTGACACTAAACACAACAGTGCTGAAAACACTTTATGATAAATTTGGGAGAGGGGGTCAGGATGCTATTCTACAGACAGACTGTCCAAATGGCAGAAAATTTCATTACAATCTTTTAAATTGTAAAAAAAACCTGGAAGAACAACAATGCACTTTTTTGAAACATTTTTGAGAACTGAGTTAAATTTGAGAGAAGTAATTTTCTTCTATTTGGTCTTTCTGCCATGAGGGGTTCTTCTGTGAGGTCTCAAGCGGGAGCTTACCTTTGTTTTTGCTTATGGTTTCATCTCGACTGCTGACAATGAAGCCTATTCAACCATACGACTATAAAGCACCGATGGATAAAAGCATTTCAGTCCAGGATTTAAAAAATATATAAAACATTGTGTGAATAAACCTGAACTCTATTTAAAAATCTAATTTTTTTGTGATAAAGGATTTATTTTTTCACATATTTCCAGATTTGATTATATTCAACAATTTGGAAACCAAGAGGAAGGTTTTTGTACACTTACTTTTTACAAAAAATGAAGTTATAATGCTCTTTCTTTGATTGACCTCAATTTAATTTCAAGTAGGTTTGACTGAGACCGGAATTTTTCGTTGTTTTTTATAGCAAAATCACTTCTTGCAGGTGATGTTTAAAATCTATATATTTTTTCATCAATGTATTTTGTGAAGTAAGTTAAAATCATGGAAATGTATTGAAAAAAGGCATGTATGCATTTGTAATAAAACGATGTACAAAATAACAGCAGCCGATTTGAAAATTAGCCAACCAAGGTATGAAACGTACTTGATGATTGCACAGCTTGTTTGCAATTCTAACGATGAAAAACGCTGCGTTAAATTGAGTGCGTCTCAAATCTTAACATGAGTTTCGTCAAGCGTTCAATCTAGACGATAAGCCTGATTTTTATAATTCATTCAGTCTTTACTTTCTTTCAAGTTGGAGTGTTTTTATGATTTGTGTTTGTAAAATTGGTATAAGTACTATTGTTCTAGTTTAAATTAATTTTTAATTGCACCGGACGGTGATAAAAAAATGTTAAGAGATATTGACCGTCATGTTTTTGAAAAAAAACCGAATATTTTTTGGAATTGAATAAAGTGAATTTTTTATTGCTGATGATTTAACAAAAAAACATTAATTTTAAGGCGGGGTCAACTTGCCGAAACGCCGGAAAAACCATATGGTATCTAGCAAACAAGATTCACCCCTATAATGAACACTGATTCAACCGCAAACCATATGCGAATATTGTGGCTAACAATGTTTTTACCCCTTTTTGTTAAAGAGAGGGAGGTGGGAGGGGGGGGGGGGGTTAGTAGTTTACGACATCCAAAAATTCATAAATAATATATGGTTAAAACAATAGGTGAAGCAACTGAAATAATTATTAGTCAAACCTTTAGAGAAAAAACTAAAAATCTGCAAAAATATAGTTTAAATGATAAAAAAAAAACTTTATCAATTGTAAGAAAAACTCAAAAAAGCGTCCCAGTAATATTAATTAAATATTTCAGATTTAATTGAAGTTTATGGAATTTTTTTTTTAACTTACAGTGTCTAAATTCTAGCATTGTTGTCAAAGAGATAATCGAACGTGTAGAAGAAATTGGGAGCTGAAATGGTCGCAGGGGAGTCATTTCCGCTAGAGAGGAGACCTAAGCGTGGCATATATAGTGTATCTAATATACCATCACAAATGGAGCGAGAAGTCATGACAGTTTTGTGACCTCTAATGGCCCTTATAGACTCTCAATTGACAAAGCATGTTGCGAATCTGAAGAGTTATTGTCAAAAGTTTTTTTGTAACTTTTACGCGGCATATTTTCTATAATTTCCTTGATGATGGATATTTGGAAAATTGATTCATCAGTTTTGTATTAGGCCTTAAATTAATCACAAGATGCTTGATCAATTCCATGCTATGAATTAATTTCAAATGCTTTTTGATACGCAAAAAGGTCTGGAAGAAAACATTCAACACCTACCCAATAATTCAACATTGTTTATTCTGGAAAGTGTGGAAAGAAACCTATATGACGGCTGGCGACTTTGAAAGCAATTTTCTGAAGTCTTCAAAAAATATTGTTTCGATTTTTTTGTCGAATATAACAATGATTGAAATATTCTGTGCTACTTGCGCGACAACTGGTTGCTCTTTTTATATATATTTATTTTTTCATTCTGTCGAGAATTCTCGAGATTTGAGAAACTGAAATCGATTCATACGTTTTCATATTCACATTATTATAGACCAATTTCTAAAGTTGACCGTGCCGAGCAAAAATAGTTTTCTTCGGTAATTTTGACTGTTTCTTATCAATGAAACAATTTTTCTTGGATGGTGAAATCATTTTTATTGGATCGAAAATGCTTTCTGAATGTTTTGGATAAAATATAAGACTGTGCATATTTTCCGACTGCTCTTCCAGCTGTTTCAATAAGCAATTTTTAATATATTTTTTCTATGAAACAAAAAAAGTTGAATTAAAAATATGTTAAAAATCTGCTCAATACGCAATGGCAAGTAAGTAGTTTCAGTTGCATTTATTTCGTAGAATACGCATGATTTCGACCAACTTGCAAAACCTCAAAAATAGTCGAGTTTTTGGTGGTACACGGCCCGATTTACCAGGATTTTCAAAATAGTTTAAGATTTAATGTTCAGAATTAAGCTTCAGATTTTGTTTCTTGGAATTGAAAACCAAACCAAACAATCAGATTCCAGTATAAAAAACCAATGCCAAAAAATATCAGAACTTCAAATTTGGGCCGTAGACTTGGAGATACCCAAACGAGCGTGCTTGAACCAATTTATAAGTTTGAACCAACACAGCCCATGAACTTATTTTTCCCATTGTAACCGATAGTTTCATGCGAGAAAAGTAAAAAAGTGTTCTGGAAGGTTATTCTTCTTTTAAATTAAGTAAGTTTTGAGGATGTATGAACAATTAGAGAAACAAATAAAAATACAGAAAAAATTTGAAGTGTTTCAAATGTTTCTTTGGCAGTCATTATTTTCGGAAATGAAAAACTTGTCCGGAAAGTTGAAAATGAACTTATGCAAAACTGCTGATATCAGAGCAAAACCTGAATGTTCCGACTGTCTTTTTAGGTCTGTTGAGCAGAGTTCGCCTAAAAAAATCGGTGGAATTTAAAAAAAAACGATTTCATTGAAAGATTTTTTTTTCGTGCTCCCAGATGCCATATCAAATACAAAGTGACAGATTTTGCTCCTTGTAACGTATCAATTATGACAAAGAGCCTGCTTCAACCAATTTGAAACAATTTCTACGTCGGCTTAAATCTCCGCAACGCGTTAATAGCGCGAAATATATCGTTAATTGTTACATTTTGGCCAAATTGGCAATCTGACAAACTTCAAA